TTCTTTGGTTAATTCCCCCCCCCCCATCCTCTCCTTCCCTCTGAGATTCCTCAGTCTGTTCCATGCTGCTTTTGATTGGAGCATGTATTCCATTTACATTTAAGGTTATTATTGATGTATAGTATTTCAATATTATTTAATTTTAAATTTTATGTTTGATGTGAATTTGTTGTACAAGGCTATCACATGAGTTGTAATTCATTCACTCACCAAATACTAAACACTTCTACGTTCCTGATGCTATCTAGGTGCTTAGGGTAATTTGTAATAGAAAAGATATAATTAAAATGTTTTTTTATTATTATTTCTTTTTCTTTTGTTTCAGTTCTTTATTTTCTCTCAAAGAAACAAAGTAAACTTTATCCTTAAAGAAAAGTACAATAGAAAGTATTTGTGTCAAGATATCAGTAGCATGAAAAAGTGAATGTATTATATAATATTGAATGTAGTCAATTATTTCCTTTTTTGTTATGTCTACATAGATGTGTGCTAGTCCAGGTGTACACACACATATATGCCCCACAGCTGTATGCGTTATGGCCAGTTTCCTTATATACAGATTTCAGCTGCTCAGAAAGATATCCTTTTACCTATTTTGAACAATTGTATATATAGAAATGAACATTAGAGTGTTGGCTCATGACATTTTGGAAAATTTAAATTTTAAATCTGATTTTGAAATTTTAGAGTTTGGAGATTAAATTTTGATTTCATATTTTCAGGTCCAGAAGTACTATTAATTTGAGTGTGACAGAGTAGTGTTTTATTATGAATGTTGTGGGTTTTTGCTTCTGGGTCTTAGCCAACTTTACTAATTTTTTTCAGAGAACAAGTCTATAAAACCTGCACCTGTAGAACTCATTGTCTCCCTTTAACTACACCCTTCAATTCATTATCTGCTGTTCATAGGCTAAGAGACACCAGTGCCAAAATCTTTGATTGATACAAGCACTGTTGTTTAAACATATACCCAAAAGAAATAGACTAAAATAGGAATGATAAAATTAATTTCTCCAAATAATTTTATTTCAAATTCCTTAAGTCATATAATTTCTTATGAATACTGAAGGTACCTATGGTGACTAGAAGGAGTGTAAGTTATCCAGTAATTCCCTTCATGGATACTATATATCTCAGTTGGGGAGTCACATGTTCTGTCTGTATAGCAATCATCTATACCTTAGTTGTACCATAAAACCCAAATCTTTTTATTATAAACAAATCAGCAAGACAATATGCTTGACATTCTACTTTAAGTCATGTGACAAGTTCTGCTTTGTAGAGGACCCCAGCTTATTTGCCCTAATTTTAGACAGGCTCATTGTGTGTGTGTGTGTGTGTGTGTGTGTGTGTGTGAGAGGGGGTGGGGAGGGAGGGAGAAGAGAGGAGGGAAAGAGAATTTTCAATGTACTTTTAAGGATCTTGGGATGCTAAGGAAAGAAAGAAATTGTAACTAAGAACTATTTTAGATGCCAGCTAAAAAGAGAACTTCTCAAACATCTAGCCATAAACTGGTTTTCTTTCAACTGTTTTTTTTAGAAACACTCACATACACTTATCTTTTAAATAAAACGGAACTGAACATAATATATCTCTTACAGTTAGATAGTTTTAAAAAAGTATTATTTTGTGAAATATACATTACACACATATTATAAACATACTATGTATTATATACACACATGCTTGTGTACATACTAATATTTTTGTGAATCATAGTTTAAAAGCCACTGAGGAACAGGGGGGAATTTTATCTTTATTACATTGGTCTATTTAATTAAATATTAAAGGAATTAAAGGAATATTTGATTACAGTTTTAAAAGCTGTATGTTAAAAGCCAGTGCTTTGGGGATAGAACTAACTGGTGCAAAGCCTGAGCACACTTCTGCGGAGCAATGAGGTGACCATCTGTACTAGTGCTCCAGCTGCCATAGGGAAACACCACAGGCTGGGTGGCTTGACTCACAGACATCGATTTTCTCACAATTCAGGAGGCTGGAGGTGCCAGCAGGTTTGGTTTCTGGGAGGTCTCTCTCCTCGGCTTGCAGATGGTGCCTTCTTGCCGTGTCCTCACATGGCCTTTCCTCTGTGCACATGCATGGAGAGAGCTTGGGTGGCTTTCCACTTCTTATAAGGACACCAGTGCTATTGGATTAGAGTTCCATCCTTATGACCTCATTTAACCTTACCCACCTCCTTTAAGTCCTTACCTCCAAATACAGTCACACTGGGGGGTTAGGGCTTCAACATATGAATTTGTGGAGAATACAGTTCAGACCACAACACCATTCTTTGGAATACACTTAAATTTCTACATTAATTGGTTTGTTTTATATGCAAAACAAGTCTGTGTGCCTCCATGTGAGTGATCTTCATGATTCTGAACCAAAAGTATGTAATGTATCATTGTGTTTTCATGCGATTAAACACTGAAAAGTAGGACGCTAATGTTTTTTTCTGTTGGCTTCTCCCTAGCCTTGTGAGTAACATCCTTTCTGGTGGCTGCACCTGTAGGAAGCTCATGTGAGTCAAGGCCATGAGCAAGCTCATGTGAACCCTGCGAGCTGCAGCTGCTGCAGACAGTTGAGCCAGTTGAAATGGAACTGTCGATTTCAGCAGATGTGTGTTTTCTAATTTAAAATGCAGTTTAGGGACGTGACAAAATCAGGTCAGAAATTCAGCAGAAAATGTGAAGAAAGGAAGGGAAAGACAATTTATAATTTATTTATAGATTATTGGGACCAAATTCTTCATAAGTAAAACACTACTAGAATTTCTACAGCTCTGGAAAAAAGGTTTTAGATCATTTTCATTTTGAAATAACTCACTAATGGGCATAATTAAATAGAAACCAACAAATGCACTCTAGTTGTCATCTTTACATAGGTGAACCTGGCCATGTGACTGTTCACTCTCTATGCCTTACCTCCTAACCTAAATCACTCCAGATACTCCAACTTTTAAACACTTCCTAAGTGTTCAGAAGCAACAAAGGTATTTCTAGTTTTCAATTTTGATGTATGAAAATGCTAAATAATTTTGATAACTTGGAATCCTCCCTATTAAAAAAATGTAACTAATACAGAATGTAAAAAATACAAAGTCATATATAGCATCAAATCTCCAGTTGAAAAGACTAAAACACATGCTTCTTTGAATGAAAAGATTTTGACAAATAATAAACTCCAACCTTACATGATTTTTTAAAAAACAAGTAATCTCATAACAAATAATATGGTTATTTATAGTTAAAAAAAACCCAATATGATATATTGCTTAAGTATAAACATTTAGCGCTAATCAGATGTGCTCTTATTTCTGTTTTTATGTTAAAATATATTCTGTTTCCAATGAAGACTAATTTTAATTAAAATATTATGTTTAGAATTAAGGAGGAATAGCTTTTGATGAACATGCTGAAAGGAAACATGTTGGTATGGCTAATCCCTCTGACATAGTTGAAGAGGAGGTGGTTAGTTGGAACAACACAGAAGTGTCACATGTAAGTTGATGTGCATCCCTCAAAGAAAATAGTAATGACCTCAGTCATTTTTCCATGGAGAAATACGACTTTCTGTAGAAGTGTTTGTTTCATTATTTTTAAATCTCTGATGGAGAATAGGTCTATGTTCAACACTAGAATCGATACGACTAATGATCTTTTTCTAAAGCCGTGTGCCCTCTTCTGAGGAACTAATGTTTCCATTGAGAAAATAAAGATCATTTAGGTTTTCTGGGTAATACATTGATACTAATACCTGAGGCAGGTGTAATAAAAATAAGATGTGATCACAAAACTCAGAAGGTAAATTCCTAAGCAAGCAGGGCATAGTGCAGCCGTATTATGCATAACCAGTTCAGTTTGCTACTGTTTACATTCCCTGAGTAGGAAAGGCCTGGATTTTTGTTCAGTTCTTGTATTGATGTAGATGTACCACAGTGTTTAGAATATTACTGTCCATTTGTGAGACAAACACCACCACAGCCCCTACCACAGCATGCCAGTGTCCTGGCACTGCAGCTGGCCACAGCGGGTAGACAGCCAAGCATCACTTCTTAACCAGTAGTCGGCAGGTGTTCCTGCACATGGAGATGCTCACGTTAGGAGGTTGACCTTACATAATATTAAGAAAACTCCCTTTGCTTGGGAAGCTCTAGTGCCAAGAAACCTTGAAAGACTCTTTCCAGAACTTATATTTGGCCCCAGCACTATGAAGGAACCTGAAAATATGGAGGGCTATAGTTTTTCCCCTGCTGGTTACCTGGTGAGAGAGCATTTGGTCTTTTCTGAATGTCATCAATCCCTTCAGTGACAAAGCTAGGACTTGGTGGCTCTTTATCGTGTCTGGA